AGTGGTTAGAATTGTGCATTGCCACAGGCAATAATGATGTTGACATGGATAAACATTTCGACATTCACCTTTCTTATTTAATGCTATATTAAGCAATATGGGAAGAGAAGAAACTATAAGGCATATGTCGTATGTGCAAGGGAAATCACTTTTTATCATGTTTACTCAGCATTGCCTCTTTTTGTAGGATAAGGACTCCTCGCCACCATAACAAGAAAATCCCTAAACTATATTTTATTCTGAATTCCATTTTTACTGTTCATTGGACCCAGAGCTGAACAATAGTTAATTTTGATTTGTTAGTGCCCAAAGAGTCAAAGAATGACCGGATACCAGAGTTAGTACTTACACTTGCACTACCGATGTGGGAAACTGAACTGCTTTAAGGAAATAGGAGAATCGTGACCACCCCTTTGATCATCGTAATCATCCACCTATTTCCTTTTTCTCCTCAACGACGCGTTCAATGGCGAAACAAATTTAGCATAAGCTGGTGAAGAAGGTGGGTCACGCATCTGTAATGCGAGCTCAAGTAAGGAACAGCAGACACTACAGCGCATACCTACGGGATGTAGATGCGCTCGGTGAACCCCCTTCAATGCATTCGCCATTTTGGTATCATGGCGTCTCAGACACACATTTATTCATCGGCCAGACGGCATATACGCCAATGCTAAGCCACTTCAACACCGATTTGACAAATCGTATTACCCAAGAATGAAACAAACATCAGCACACATACTATCCAAACACTCGAAATAAATTGTAGGCAATGGCTTCGCTTCATCAATTACGTATATTTGCGAATCCCGAGGAAAAGCCAATATGTGAGGAAAATTTTTACGAGTAAGTGTAAAACTTGAGTGGAGGAGAAGATAGTGGAATAAATTTGTCAACTGACGGTCATGCCAAGCACTGTAGCCTAAATTGAATAACCTTTAAAGCGACTAATTTACTCACTGAGATGAGTAGTTTCTATTCTTGACCGGCATTAAATTATTGTGTAGCGATGATCTAGAATTAAATTATTTTTGTATCAGTCAAGCCTCATTACTTGGCAAATTTCCTGTCGGTAGGAAAGTTTGCAGTTCGGTGATGCAGAGACCAGGAAGTTCACTTAAATAACCAACTTGAACTTTGAATCACTCAAAAGCTGTCAGTTGCTTTTAGCTTTTACGGATTTCGCTTAATAGTCCATCGCTAAACTATTAAAAATGTGCTTTTTTTGGGAATGCAGGAAACTTGTTACAAATTATGCAGTTTCAAATTAAGGTGACTGTTTTTCACGCCAAAATTAGAACATGATTACCAGTGTAGCTTGCTGCGAAAAAGTCAGTGCCAGTACGTCATGCAACATAGGATCCGGAAGTGTTTTACGACACTTCTAAACAACATACACTCATTTTCGAGTGAATAAAACACTTCTAGAGATTTGTACCCGCGTAAAATGCTCTGTATCTGTTTTCGCCCGAGCAGTTCAGAACTTTTCCACTTCTATAACTTTGCCGAGGATGAGTGAGCAGCTACGAGTCTCCGTGGCCTGATTTTACTGAATAATTAACCCGGTATAAAAACTCAGCATTATTCACCTTCCTTATCTATGCTATTTTTAGCTAACAAAGGCACATCGTTTGCAAGTAAGTGCGTTACAGCTTCCGGATTTCTCAAAGTCCCTCCCACATTATATGACATGTTGAATAAACATATTTCCACAGCATTGAAATAAAAAGAAATTGAATCCGGATATTCTGAATTGAGAAACAAAAAGACAGGATTCAGTTGCCTTGGTGACTAGTGGTCTTAGCAACAATCTGCTTCGATAAAGGCTTAAAAGCGAGACAATTATGCTACCCCCTTAAAAATTTAAGTAGTTTTGTAAGAAAAGTAGACAAATCTAGAAGGATATAGTCTCTTACTTACCCCACTTTGGATGCACCGGTTATAACAAACCGCTGTGAGACGCCTCAGAGTGCTATTAACTTTGCCTGGCTCATTAACCTTTGCAGTTAAAAGTCGATTTTACGGATTGCAAAAGTATCGTGTTGGAGCTTGCTCCTCAAACCACCAAAATTTAGGTACGAAAAAGTGGGATAAGGTCCTTAAGCAGAATCATAAGTCTTGCTTATTAGTTTCAAGACTTATAATGAGCTGTAAAGTTTAATGTGGTAGTCGATAGAATGGGTTTTACTGATTAATAATTAAAAATTTTTCAACTACTTACCCCAGGGTTGTCATTGTGACAATAATATACCAGAATGCTGCCGGAATACTTGTAAAGCGGGTGTCAACATCCGTTTTCTCTAAATAGTAAATCACAGTTGCAAAAATAATCAGAGCCATTGCGAGACTGAAAAGCAGGAACCCAAGTTCAGACGCGCAGGATTTGAGAGTGTAGCCCAATATACGGAGGCCCTGACTGTGGCGTGAAAATTTGAATATCCGAAAGACTCGGAACACTCGCAATGTCACAAAAGCTCCAGAAAGGTTTTTGTTCTCTGGTAAACCCAATCCAACGTAGTAAGGGAATATGGCGACGACATCTATTAAAGCCATCACTGACCGTACAAACTTGAGTCTATTCGGAGCCGCATAGAGCCGAGCCAGATACTCTATGGTAAATATTAAAACACAAGCCGTATCAAGACAGAAAAATCCTTTACTATATCTTTCACCACACGAAGGATACCGTCCAGTTTTAGGATTGAAGCCACAAGAAATGGTCTCGATTATATTTGCTGTGACAGAAACCGCGATAAAGAATCCGCATACGTAGTAAACAACGAGTGCCGAAGTAGAATATTGTGGATTTTCAAAAATTCTCCAAAGTTTCTCTCGAAAGGTTTTGCAAGGTGTTAAAATTATGTTTTCATCTTCCCTATCATCCATCAGACGCTCACTAATATCCCTCTTTCTGTCGCGATATTCTTCATAACAGCAGTCGCCCATTATGTCCGGCAAAATACCAAAGTAGGAAAGCTCTTCATCATATGCAGAAACGCATTCATTTTTTGGGTAGTGAAGAAGACCAGTGCGATAGTAATTTAGGATGTGTCGAAAAATATCAGGGTCTCGATCAAAAAAATATTCCTGTGTTTCTTCATTATAATAGTAATCCTTTTCGTTCGATCCCAAAAGTGTGTCAGGAAATTTTTCCAATGTGCTCCTGTAGACATCAAAACGAACACCGCTAATATTTAGGTGAAGCAGTTCGTTGGTAGGGGGAACGTCATGCTCTAAGTTTAGTTGCGGAAGTGGTGTTGTGGTGAGAGGAACCCAACCAAGAGCTGTAGCACGCGCAAAAGGGATCCAAGTGGATCGTTCCGTCATTTATTCTTCCAAAAGTACCAGCACCCCCAAAATTTTACATCGAAAGCCGTTTGAAAGAACGGTGAATTTTATTATCACAGTTAATGGTAGAATAAAACAAATTCAACCTTGGATTTCATGGTTTTGCAATAATAACAAATCAATGCCTATACAGATCTTAAAATTGTAGGTCATTTAAAACTTAAAATAATTCTGAAAATAAATGTACTTAGGAATTACTTTAGACATCAATAGTGGGTTTAAGATATTCGACTACAGATACTAATTCTGTCAAGGCGAAAAATTCTTCGTACT